AGCTGTTAGATAGGATTGGAGAAAGACGGAACGAGAGGTACATTTCACACAATTCCAGTGCTTATATGCCTCAACATTACAGAATAAAAGTATAAATGATTTGTTAGTGGACGCAGCTTTTCGGTCACAATTGCATCCGTCTGACGAATACTCCCCAGCCACTTCACCATTCAGCAAACATTTAGGATCATCATGGCACAAATCTTCTAACAACTTCTAGCGGTCTTCCTTCAACTTCCGGTGAAATCAATTTACTCATCCTTTTCAGTCGAAATGAAAGACACTAGCATTAATTTTTTGAGGGATTCTTCGAGGAACAACTGGGAATCCGAAATAAAAATAAATTTGCATTTTTTTTGTCTTTTTCTCTAAATTATAGCGATAAATTTATCTCGTTACGATTAGGCATCTATAAACATGCAGCTATTTCTTATCATTTACATTTTTACGAACCATATTATATCATAAGTCGAAAGTTTCGCTATACAAGTCCGTGACTGGGTACTAAGTGATTTTAACAATCCAAATTAGATTTCTCTCTTCTCATTTTAGGCTAAAATCTCTACGATTCCGAGTAATTATTCAGTTTTTTTATATATTTTACTAGACATTATTTTTGTAATCAGTTTCTTCTTGCTAATACTCTTTTAGGCTTAAATATCTGCCCAATTAAACATTTTGTGCTAGACAATTGCGGACTTGATTTGGGTACTTTATAGTATATATCTTTTGGAATTTGTTGTTTTATGAATCCGCATTCTTTATATTTTATTGGCATTATCCTTATTCTATCGTGACCTCAGTGCCCATCCTGTCAAACCGATCTGCTCTGTCTTCCTTCTGGCCAAATTTCGCTGCTTGCAAACGCTATTTGCCTTCAAGCTCGACATTTCGTCTCCATTTATCAACGTGGCTGGTTGACCTGTGAAGACCCAGCCTGTAAAGCTTCGTTTCGGGGTCCACCTCCCGCTGCTCCTGTACATAATAATTCAATCTCTGATCACACCAGCGACGACATGGATGAATTAGATGCTGCGGCTGCTGCCTACCAGTCGCACCATTTAGTCGACGTTTCTCAGCATACATTGCTCTGGTCTTCTTTGGGTCCTTCAGCATGTCCACTTTGTGCAAGCTGTGCTGGTCAAACTCAGATGCGGCAGCGTTACTCTGAGACCCAGTTATACAGGCAGCTGTTGTTTTATAGACATCTTCTCGCTCCAATCTCTGGATCAACTGTCTCTTCTGGATGTAATTATTCTTCAGTAGCTAACTTAAACCTGTTTTAAATTAAGATTTTTGTAAGTGAAAATGTTTATCTTTTTGTGTACAAGTAGAAATGGGAAAAATGTATTTTCACAGAACATGTTTCTGTGTAAATGAAGAATGGAAAAAAGTAAAAACAAGGCAGCACAAAATGATTCAATTGCCTACTGACAGATCACAAAATATATATGCCTTAGAAGCGGATTCATCATAATACTCAGTCCCAAATATTC